TTTAGTACAGTTTACAATATATTTATTTATATGAGCATAACAATATTCACTTATTAATCATAATATACCTGACGCACGTCAGAATTAACCTAGTTATATCTTATACATTATAATATACCGTACGTTACTGAACTACCTGATATACTATCAAGTATATGCTTCATCTCATAACATTTACATCTACATATACTACATGAGACTGATGGGCCGAAACGATTTTGCCTGCGTGAAATCAATTTTTCCAGGCTTCGGTATGAAGATCACTTTAGCTGTTCTCCAGGCCTTGGGGACATACCCGTGTGCCAGACAGCTTCTGGAGATCTTCAGGATATGTAGAATGAGGATGTCCAGTCCTTGTTGTAGAAGGGCCGAACAGATTCCATCCTCATCTGGTGATTTGAAAGGTGAAAAGGATTCGATTGTCCATTTCACTCTGTCATATGTTACAATTTTTGAGGCTATCGTGAAGTCGATTCAAGCTTCGACTGAGGTGACAGCCTCAGAATGAGGCTGCAGAAAGGTGCAACCTGGAAAGTGCGTAGAAAGCATATGCTGTAGCGTCCCTACATCCGATGAGGTGTAGCTCCCATCAGAAAGGGTCACCGTCCCCAGCTTAGCCCTCGGGTCCTTGAAAAGAACTTTGTTGAGCCTTGCCGCCTCAGAAACAGTATTCATACCTTGGCAGTACGCTCTCCACGAGTCTCTACGAACATCGCGGATCGGTTTTTTGAATTCCCTCTGGGCCAATTTGTACTCTTTCCAGTGGGCTCGTTTTTCTGTTCTTTTGGCTTTATTCAACAGCTCTCCTTCTTCCGATGGAGTTCAATTTTTGAATTCCACCATGGTGTTTTGCCTAGACAGTCTGTCCTTTTCAGGGGACAGCTGGCTTCGTATTCTCCGACTTTGGCAGAATATAGACATCCTACAAATGTCTCTATTTCTGCTTCAGAATGTAACGACAAAGTGTCGTTTTTGATTGCCCAGGCTATTTCAGCAGAATATGGTTGTGGTTCTTTGGACTGCCTTGCCAGTTTCTGATTTATTTTATTGTGTCAAGCAAGGGGTTTTGAAATTACTTAGTGACTGGACGCCAGAATTTTTTTTTTCACTGAATAGGATGAAAATTCAAAGTTCCTATGAATCAAAAAAAGATAAATTTCCTTCCTACAATGGAACAATAAAACAATTTCTCAATGTATATACAATTTACTGAATTATATGAGCAATATACATAGTTTGATGAATGATTAATATACAAGATTGTATGAGTGTTCTCATATGTGATGAATGAATGTTGTCAAGTACAAGTGATAAGCCAAGATAACAATTATAACTTGAAATCAAATTCTAGTATATTTTCTGCTATAACAAAAAAAAAACAACTCTATAGTGTCACTGCTGAATCTGTTGGTTTTATGTTTGGAGAATACCTTGGTTTCTGGAGTTTACTCAAAACTAGGAACCTGGATCTATCGTAACTCTTTAGGTATATTATGTAGTCAGCTTGACATACACCAACCAGACTTCAAATGTTCGACCTCAACTCAGGAACGTGGATAATTCAGGATCGTCGTAGTTGTTGTTAATAGCATGAAAAACAATCGAAAATATTAGATTTCTGATAAAATTTTGTTGTTATCGAATTACAACTTGGCTTTATTCTTTGACAAACCTATATGATGATATGCTGATGTAAAAAAAAAACAATGTTGAAGAAAGAAATGTTAAAGATAATAGAGGCTGATTATTTTCGAGATACTGAAAATCACTCTTTAGCATGCAAGCCAAAATTAAATGAGTGATCCAATAAATGTTTGGATTAACAATTTTGATCAGCTTTAATTTCAAAGTGAATCTATGAATTGATAAGCTAAATAAATAATCTTATTTCTAAATGATACAATAATTATTCTTGATTAACACGTGTTGTCAGCTACTTATTCATTCCTGAATTTCATGAAATGACAATCAAAAATTAGTAGAGAAAATTAGAATCTGAAATTGATTCTGAAATCGACAGGTATAAAGTAGATATCATATATTTAAATTCCCAATATTTGAAGTAAACTAAATATATTTCAAGAGGAAAGATTCATATGGTTGCCACAAGAAGTTACTCAATGAATTTCAAGATAAAAGATTATTCAATGGATTTCTAAGATAACAGATCAACTTATGACCTTAGATAATAGATCTGTCAGTGGCTTCAAGTAAAAGATATCACTCAGTGTATGTAGTATGATTCCTAGGTATGATTTTGATTACTTACTGGTCAAATGAGTCTTCACAAAATCTTCCAAGATATATAAAAGATATAATTGATTGAAAAGCTTGAATATTTTCAATGGCACAGTAGCAAGATACTATAAGATAATGAAGATAAATATGTCCTTAATGTGGACACATGATCAATACTATGATTGATCACAAAAGATAAGTTGAGATAAGTTAGGATGAGATATATATTTATCTCAGATAGACAATTTTGAGATAGATATTTCTATACAGGAAAATAAATCAAATTTTGATCTTTCTTTTATTGGAAACCTGGTGATCTTTAAAACAGATTCAGGTGAGTTGAAATGCACACATTCAAATTTATTCATATAAAAAATAACATGTGTTTTCGGTGCTCACCTGAACTGATTCCATCGATGATTTCCAGGCCACCAATTGATTAGACTGGTTTTCAGTAAAATTCTTACGAAACGTGTAAGTATATCAACTCTGACTTCCTTGCTGTACAATTAATTTGAAAATTCCTCGGATTTGTACAGGGTTTGAAGACCAAGTGCTGTGAAAACGAAAACGCAGTCAATCCTTAAAGATCAACATTTGTAGTAATCATAAAACGATGAACACATCAATCTGCTACGCCACTGGATATTCGAGTAATGATTCCTCCTAGGAAATTAACATTCATCGAAAATGCAAAATGATTACAACGATAATCGAAGATTGAACCTATGAAAAATTTGTGAACATTCACTCAAGCCGCCATGCTGCTAAAAATCGCAGTCACAAATTTGCGTGCACAATAACAATTAAAGCAATTAAATTGGAATCATGCTACGTACCTGTCTGATATCTTCAATTAAACACGAAACCACTCTGATATTTTTGCGGAGAAAGGTAAGGAATTCAACATGAAAGAAAGTCGGGATTCATCCCAAAATTGAAAATCATCCTGATAATTTCGCTGCCAAATTCAGAAGAAGGAGCTCATGCAAATCATGAACCTTTTGTCGTTTTCAATTCGATTCTGTCGCCCCCTAACTTTTTCATCCTGAACGGAATTTATGATGATAAAGATGACTAATTGATCAATATGCGGTTGATCTGTTCCTGCGGTTCTGTGAGTTGAAGTTCGAATAATTATACATAGAGGGACGACAATGATCATTAATGGATATTGAATATAAATGTAACGATTGTATCGTTACAAGAACCATATCGTGATGGCATGTTCCAGAGTCTACCTTCAAGCTCCTCTCGGTAGAGGTTTCATTTGGTTGCTCTGGGGTTTCTGAACCATCGGTTTTCCTCTTGGATATGGCCTGTTACTGAAAACAATATATGACGGTAATCAGACATACTTTCTTCCGTCGATACACGCCAGTTACTGACCCTACCTGTTAGCTCTGTTGAGCATAACGTCAAGTCAACGATTGTCCGCGCTATAGGCGTGAAATATGTTGGCACTGTTCCTCTATTGAGGATCTCCAGATCACTGGAGCTCAGAAATTCCAGAAGTGCCCTGCTTCTCGGATTGACGTTGCGATTCCCCCACAGTGTATGATGCGAGTTCGCGTCGCATCCAATCATCAAGGGTAGTCCCATCTCCTCATAGTGCCTTACAAGACTCCCTACCTCAGGAGGAGGGTGTGCCATTTTGTCAGGGAAGTAGGCTGAGCATACTATAATGTCACTCCCTCTGTTGTACTTTCAACCTTGATTCTGATCGCTACCAGGTCTCTGTGGCAGAATCCTGGAAGCAGAATCGCGTTAACACCTTTCGCGTATATGCATGCTCTTGGCTTCGGGCTAGAAGTGCTGAAATACAGTGTTCCTGCCGCTTGCCCCATTCCTCTCACTCTGACTTGGTGTACCCAAGGTTCCTGAATGAGTGCCAGATTAATTTTGAGCTCCCTCAATCTTCTGCATAGGAGAGCCGTGGAGGCTCTCCCATGTTGTAAGTCAGCCTGCAGGAAGCTCAGGAAAGAGGACTTATGGGTCGTCATTTGATGGCCTAGTCGCTCTTTTCGTCCAAAGGGGCATGGCTTTCGCCACGTCCCTCTTCTGGACTCTCCTCCACCAGAGGACGACCTGGGCCATCCTCTGTCAGAGTTGTGTCCTCTGCTGTCTCAGAGACATCTATTTCTTTGGCGAGGCACTGAAGAACCCGTAGTCCCTAGCCTCTTCGATAGCTGCTATGGACTAACTGTCCATCCCAACTATCAACATTAGACCTCGTTTCTCCTTCCTCCTATTCCAGACTCTCCAATGAGAGGTGGGCAGGTTGAGATTCTGCCTTTCCAGGACACTCAGTATGTCCTGGTTGGGCAGCCTCCCTGGAATTCGAACGACGGTCCTTTGGAGCCTGAATTTCTCAGGGTCAATGGCAACCAGAGTTACGCCCTCCCAGGGTCTAATTCCTGTTTGACTCATGGGGCGCCAATCTCTGGAGGCCTCGTTGGCTGCGGTTACAAGCAGTTGCCTACGCCATAACCGCGTTGATGCGAACTGCAGAGGTGGAACATTGGACGCCGTTGGCGTCCCCATGATCCTCCCTTCAACAGCATCTAGGAACTTCGGCATCTGGTCCTCAGTGAACTCCGCTTCAAGTTGCCCTTCATGGCTGATGACCAGACCAGGTCGCTTCGCCACTTGCGAGATGTAAGTCGGTGTGGAATCCGGCGTGCGGCTCCGTTTAGTTAATTGCGTCATTCCTGACGTATTGTCCTTGGCCTTGACAGCCTCATGGTGCACAGCAGGTTTACCTCCTGCAGTGGATCTTTTTTGAGGCCCACCACTTCCAGGTTTCCCTTGCGCTCCCCTAAGGTCATCCTTAGGCCGTCTCTCGGCCTTTGTTTTCGCGTCAAGGTATTTCGAGCAAGATCCAGGAGAGGACGGAGGCGCTTTGATCGCTTCCTTTTTCCTTTCTTTCTCCTTCTTCCTTTCAGCATCACAGGGCCTTTTCACCTTGACCTTCGAAAAATCCGAGGCCAGATCAGACACGTACGAGTCTCTAGAGGGATCCCTGGATGTGCCGGGTTTTGACTAGGGGTCAGGTTCGGGAGCAACAGGCGTCGATGCGCCCGTTAGGGTCAGGGAGCTGGAGGTCGTCAGGGTGGCAGCCTCCAGGGTTGAGGGAGGAGTGGAGGTCATCGATGTGACGTCCTCCTGTGCTGGGTATTGAGATTTCAATATTATTCCAGTCTGCCATATGTTGTCCATCTTCAGTAAGGATATGCTCAGTTAGCTTCGATTCATCGATATGTCTTTTCTTGATATTGTACTTGTGTTCTTTAGTCCCTACTGAGAGAGGTCTCTTCGTTTCACCTGTATAATACTTTCCACACACACAAACATACTATGAATACAATTATTTGATAATTGTCCTTCATTTTCTGGTTTTGTTTGAGTTATAATGGATCTGATTGTATTTTCAGTTTTGACCACAGTTTTCACTTGGAACTTATCACCAACACGTTTTATTTCCTCAGATATAACGGGAATGTACGGTATTATATTCGTCGTTATTGATGGTTGTTTTTGTTGTGGTGTATTTTGTTTGTTTTCAATTTGGTGAATCGTTCTATCAATTTTCCATAAGGATATGTGGCCAAATCATGAAGATGTCATTTACGTATCTATTGTTTTTCGTAGTTTACAATAACGTTTCCTTCAAAAATCTCAAAGAATATATTGCTCAAAATTGGTGATAGTGGTGAGCCCATAGCCATGCTAAAACATTGTTGATAAAACTCTTCATCCAATTGAGAATATGTAGTTTTCAGGCATAATTCCAAAAATTACAAAATTCCTTCAATACTCAGATTTGTTCTCTCAGTAAGATTTCCATTATCTTCCAATTTATGTTTCACTATTTGTGAAGTTTTATCCATAGGAACATTTGTGAATAAACTCACTACATCAGAAATAACAAGAGGGTCATCTATATCCAATGTGATATCGTTCAATTTTTCCAAGAAATGAGGAGTATAATTAATAAAACTCTCACTCTTACCTGATATAGGATTGATGATATTAAAAAGGAATCTTGTTGAATTTTGACATGCAGATCCAATTGAACTCACTATTAGTTTTGAAGGAATATTTGGTTTATGTTTTTTTGGAAGTCCGTAAAAATGTGGAGGTTTGCTGTGATATATGGAGATGTTCTTTCCCTCCGCAAGTGTTAGTTGATTTTCGTGTTTCTTAATATTGTTGCGTATCTTTCTCTCAATGTTCGCTGTAGAATCTTCATTCAATTTCGTGTAGTTGCCATCGTTCATCAGTTGTTCAATTTTATTGTCGTATTCAATTTTGTTCATGATGGCTGTAGCATTGCTTTCATCAGCTGGGAGAATTTTGATTGTGTAATTGTGTTTCAGGTTATTGAGTGAATGTTCCTCTTCGTGTGATTTTGTGTTTTTTCAATGATGATTTTGTTTCTGATCCAGTACTCATTTGAAAACTCATCAGGAAGCCATTGTGCAGTTTGTTCTATTGCTGTTATTAAATCTAAATGAAGGAGCTAGAAGAGAACCCCCGCAATTTTCAAAATTTCAAGTCCTTCTTCCCCAGATTCTACGGAAATTTCGCGATGCGCAGCGGAAAGCCTCATAAGAGCCCATGTAAAGGAGGGCAGATTTTTCCCTAGATCTACGGACTTTTTCAGCGAATTTTAAGCTCAAAAGTAGCAAAAATTAACGCTTTCAAGGTCATCCGTCCCGACAAGCAAGCTAATCGACTGCCACATCTGGTGATATATACAGAGCGTCCACGCGTAGTACCGTACAATAGCAGTAGGGTAAAAATCCTATGTTAAATAAACAAAAAATATACAATGGGGGGCTAAAGAACCCGAGTCAGATCAGAAAACTATACAGCTAGATTATCAATACCCAGACGAGAACAATCGAAGATAACTCTATCAAAACTCTTCATGGTGCAGCGGCGGCCCATTCGAGGGCTTCTCGATGTTTAACTCACGAATAATATACAATGTCCTAAGATTCTAGTCAAAATCAAATCTAGATATGCGAGTAACATACACTTTCACTCATAATGCTGAATATTTGACATACGATGATTAAATGCAAGCCCAGACAGCTCATCCTTTCATCGAACAACAGTCAAAACTCGTAAGGGTTAGGGACGCTAGGGGTTATGTGCGGGTGGTTTAGGGGTATACCAATACCGTTATAATCACCTTTCGTGCCATACAATAGAGCTAAAACGCTTGTGTGTCAGGCGGCACAGCGGCCCTCCTCCCAGGTCGAGTGGTCTTCCTCTTCTCGAAGTTCTTGATCGCTGGCCTCCATGCCAGCATCGATCAGACCTATGAGATTGTCAGTTGAGCTCAGAGTCCCCTCATATAGTTGATCCTCGACCTCATCCTTTGACGAAAGGAGATATCTGTAGAGGTCGGGATCGATGGTGGGTTCCTCTGGCTGTTCATCCATCGCCACCGCGTGAGGGCTGGTAGTGATCTCAATCACTTCTGGAGCAGCCAGTGGGGACTCTGACGAACTTCTGGTGGAAGTGGGGAGGGATCTCGACCTGCTGTTGTCGAGTACTCGACTTGCGGTCTTCTTGGGGGCGCTTGTGCCCCCGGTGACGGGGTATCCTCTTGCCGCAAACGCTTCTTAGATGTTAGCGCCATTTGGGGAGGATCATTCGACGAGTCTTCGCTGTCGCTGGTAGTGACTGGTGCTGCCCTTGGTATCCTCCCAGTGGAGGGTCCTGGGATTTGGGAAGAGTGTATCCCGGGGCTACTGGCTATGGGCAGCACTGCTGGGACCTCTATGGGGTCCAGGGAGCTCCTAGGTGTTCCGTATACGGAGTCATCAAGTTCGTCGCACCCCGTTCCAGGGGTAGTGGTGGCTGCTCTCGGTGCCATGGAGACAAGTTTTGTCTTCCCCTTGGCTGAGGCAGTCATGGCAGCTTGGGGCGGCAACTGGACAGAGGGAGAATTCACAGTGTTCCTCTTGGATGCCATGTTCGAAGTTGCCGCCCGTATGGAAGCCCGTCGCGCACGTGCGAGATATTCTTTATATATCGTTTAGTCCCGCTTGTGGCCGATCTGATGGCTAGTGAGGCCGGTGGCTTTCTCCATTTCTTTAACGAACGGTATACCCTTCATGGTGGAGACCTCTATGGCCGCAAGGATCTCGTAAAGCTCGTGTTCCGGCCTCGGCAGGCTATCTTCCATTTCCTTCGCATATAGATCGGGATGCGCTTTCTTTTCGTGCTGCCTTACCCCCTGGAACGTGGGGAAGGTTCTCTCGCAGAATTGACACTTTGACGTGTCACGTGTTCCGCATAGCTTCATATGCTTCTGCAGCCCCCCAATGGTCTCGCAACCGTGTCCGTACTTTGGACACCGGTGCGGATGCGGGTTTGCTTGGAGAGAGGGTGTAGTGGCAGAAAAACTTACCCTCCTTGGGTTCACTTTTGATCCCTCTCTCCTTAGCGGACCAGAGCCACTGGCGGTGTTGGTTGGGCCCTGGGTGGGTGTCGTCAGGGATGGCTTGACTCCCTTCTTTCTGTTTCCTGACATTGCCCTCGGTTGTGGTGCCCCGTGGTTACTCCGCACTTTCCACTAAGTGTTTACAGAAAATGGCAGAGTCGAAGGAACAATTCACTTTCCACAAGTGTTTTAATGTAAAAAGAAGAGTTCTCGCAGCTACGAGAACTCTCCTTGATTCAAATAACCCGCGCGCACTGGTAGTGGTGCTACTGCGATGGCCGATGCCAAGATGGCCGCTGCCGGGAATACGTAGGCAACACGAGACGATTCTACCGCGCGGAGGCAGAATTGTAGGTTAACACCCACGTGGAGATTCCCGAAACCCGTTTATCTCCGGCCGGGATGCAGATATGATATTCCCGTTCGCACACACTGGAACCCACGGCGAACTTAAACACTCGGTATAATCAATGTCAAATTTGGATCAAATCTATGGATTTTAGAAATGATTGTTTCGCGAGCAACGCGGACACGTCCTCTCATCGCCACGATGCTTAAAAGAGTCCCTAGATTCTACGGAAGTTACAATTTGCGGGCCATCAGAGCCTATGTAAAGCAGATTAGATTTTCCCTAGATCTAGGCACTTTTTTGAATGTGAATAACAAACTGCGTCAATAACAGGGTCGATATACAGGGTGTTTGAGTTGAATAGAAATTGAAAAAATATATAGGGCGACTCATGAGTAGACCACCACACTTCAGATGGGCTTAGCAAACAGATAGCTGACGTATGTCGTATATCAGATAATCGTTGACAGGATCACTGACATGTAACTAGGCTGGCTGGCTATCCCGCTAGCTGATGATATCATTCAAGTGAAAATGAAAAAAAAATTACATCTTCATTACCTCACCCTCAATATTTGAAGTTGGTTTGTTCAACCTTTACATTGAATGCGGGGTTCAAACGAGATAATTGTTGTGGACTAAAGGATGGCACAATATCAATAGTTTTTGGATTTTCTCATAGCAAAAACTCAACTGTAGCCCTTATCGAAAAATTTGAGCTAAAATGTGATTTTTTCAAAACACCATGCAAATCTTCCACTCTTGATGTGTATTTTGTAAGAAAATTGTCTAAAGACTTTGTTACAATTAGTGTGGAAGATATTGCAAAAAAATATGTTCAACTACCTCATGAAAATGGTTTTGTTGTATTTCCTTTATTACATTCTGTTGATTCAAAGAAGCAATGAAAAATCATCAAACTTCAACACTTATAGGTCTGTAAAAAAGCGAAATATTTGCATTTACCGCCTTTCACTTATGAACAATCAAACATTCATAATTCATATGTGACAGTCATTAGTCATAGTCAAATTCTCCATAGGTGAAAGGCGGCCAAAACCCTGTATATAGAAAATGATGATGGTAGGAGGATGAGAAAAACTCGAATACTTGTATAGGTACCTTGATGTTTCAAATAATGATAATTCAAGCTCTATTCAAATATGACACAGTGAAGAACAGTATTTCATTTTTTTCTTTGAAAATGTCAGATACCCTGATACCAATATAATTCAGTATAGTTCAATAGGTTGTAGTAAGTGGGTTTTATTATTGTATTTATACTTAATATTATATAAATATTGAGAGGAATAATTATGTAATATTATTATGTACTTTGTGATTATGAATATTTCATAACATTCAGGTACCCAAATCTAAACGCAAATTGAAAAGAATTCTAGATTTCTTGAGCCAATTTTTTGTTAGTAGCTCATATTTGCATTATCAAAAATGAGAGGTTGGCAGATAGTCAAATTCATCGAAGAAAATGATGTGGTGGAGGCAGTACCATCTTCATGGATAATTGAAGAATCTGGTAGAATTAAATGTTTGTGGCCAGAAATTATTTCTACTGCAAAGGTGGCAGCTGCTATACGTTCCCAAGAAACACCAAAAGACAATTGGAAACGTTTACCAATTGAAATCATGAGCTGTGTACCATATGAGAATTTTCAAGTAGCCACAAAAAAGCTGGAAAGGCCGAATATACCTTCGAATTAGATACAGCAAGTGATCATTCAATGGGACCAAACTTAAAAAAAAGGCCGAAGAAGAATCCAAGATATGTTTCTTCGGAAGATGAAGAATTCCCTCTAGGAAAAGTTGTGGGAAGATCTCCAAGATTCGAATTGCCAGCACCACCTGGTAAGATTTATTCATAATTTTGTTCACTGATACATATTTTTTTCAATTTTCAATTTCTCAAGATAACAAAACTTTATGAGTTAGTGTATTTTCATTTTCTATATCAAATATATTTTTGTAGGAAATAGTTCACAGCTATCTAGCTTGCAGACAAATCTATCAGCGGTGAAGAGAAATTTGAATTTGGAACAAGAAATAGTGGCAGCTGAAGTGATAATCCAAAGAAACTTTGATCCATCTGCTGGCCCAATAACTTCAACTTCTTCAATGCTTTCCAGTTCTCAGGTTGAAACAGATGTATCAGTGGTGGAGAGGCATTCAAATTTGGAAACAGCAACAGTTCTATTTCCCAGCAACTCTGATAATTCAACAAACTCAAGAACACCTTCTATTGTTCCACTACATAATACAACACCTTCTTCTTCTAAAGGTTAACTATAATGAGTTTCCAGTCTGTGTTTGATTTTGAAATTAACTATTTTCTTTATAGAATATACTGAAGTGATTAGACTCCTTCACATAATCAATGGAAGAGTCACACAGAATGCAGACTTGATATCTGCATTACTGAATTCTCAGCTAAATGATAACATCCAAAAAAAAACAGCAAAAGATATGGATATCACTATTCCAGCTAGATCATATCTGGAACTGATGGAATTGGATCAGAAACTGCAGGATGAATACACCAGGGAATTCATGGTAGATGGATCCTTCCAATTTCATTGAAGAAAAACCACATGGCACTGGCAGTACTAGAAATGATTCATTTTATTTTTTATAGGTGAAGAAGCTTCTTCACGTTGGAAGAATTGATGTCAGAGATGTAATTAAAAGGAGTATGCCACAGTTAGTCGATGATGCCATTTTGAGACAGTTCAGCTGGGTTGGAGGAAAACGGAAAAAAATATTCTGCACACTAATCATCCCTAGTGTGATAAAAGGTAAAAAATAAACTACCTACTTCAATTCAAATTCAACTGTTTTCTTGTACTAGATTTGAATGGGGTGATTGAAGACATATTTTACAAACATATATGTTGCAAATGAATATCACTTTTATTAGAGGTATGTAAAAGGAACCCACTTACAAAGCAGTATACAGAGAAAATAGTAGAGGATAGACTTGCCATTTATCTTAACAAATCCACAGAAAGGTACATCAGAAGAATGTAAGTTGATGATTGTATGTACTATATAATATGGACTATTTTTTCATTGAATGTTGATTCTAGGAGCAAAGAAAACAAACCAAATGATCATGATGAAGAATTTGTAGAATAACACTTATTTTATTATTTGTTCATATGTTTATGTATTTTTTGTTTGTTTGTGAATGACTAATGACCTAATAATCAGTGCAATGTTTTTTTCAAGTATATGCTTTGATCTATTTTTTTTCACATGAAATTATAGTTTGTGATCATTCCAAAGAAAATCTAGAATAAGATGTTTTGTTGTTTTCCATGTTTTGAAATATAGTTATTTATTATACAAGGGAAAAAAGTAGTAGATTTTAGCTCCAGGTTGTGTTGTCTCCCGACGCGTAGCGGAGGGAGACAACAAACCGTGAGCTAAAATCTAATATTTTTACCGTGTATAATAAACTATTTTTTTCTGTGACAGAAGAAAAGACAAATCAATATTGAGAAGATATTACATTATTTTGAAATCTGAATATTATCGACGTGAAATTTCAAGTTTTCAACAGTAGGGACACCGCGTTGTAGGCACCTTTATCATTCATTTGAAGTAATCAAATATCTGATGTCACTTCTGTCAGTCTAATTTTGTGATTTTATTTCAAGAAATTGCGAATTCAGTGGTTATTCAGCAATATACGTAACCGCGAAGTCGAATGGAAGATAAAAGGACTTGCAGTTCTTTCTGGGGGACGGTATTATTGACTCATCTCTCGGAACTATAGCACAACAAAAGCCATCAACAGTGTAAATATATGTGATATATATCCGGGAAAAAAGTACTCACTTTTTTCCCACGGGAAAAAAGTAATTTATGAAAAGTGACATTTTATAACCTGCCAACAGGGATGAAATGCCAAACTTTTTTCCCGTCACAGAAACAAATGTTTTTTTATGCTTAATAATTGTTTTCTATCTGAAAAATCTGCCATACAATTCCACATCTGATATTGAAAACGAATAATATTGATTGAAATTCATGAAATGATTTACTCCTGATTCTTTTTGAACTTCAAACCATTCATAATTATATGGGTATATATATATATATTATGAAGCTGTTTGATTTCAGAAGCAGAGATTAGTCATGTGATATCATTTTCTGACATTGGTTTTTTTTTTCAAACAGAAACTTATACTTCTGTTTGAGAAACCAGAATTGGCTCTGCATCAACCTTGAAAACCATCTTAAGGTCAAAAAATGATAGCACTAGTATTCTCCGCTTTTAAAAAAATAACTTTGATTTTTGGTTTTTGTTCTAAAATCTCTAATTTTCGAGATTTATAACTGTCTCAACTTGAATGGACCTCCATGTATACAGGGTGTCCCGAAATTACATAGAAATATTTCAACCACAGATTCTAGGAACGAAAATAGTAAGAAAAAGTTCATATAAACATGAGCCCAGAAGGCCCCCTGGGAAGTTATAGCCTTCTGAAAGAGGGCTTCAGATGATGTTTTTTGTAAATATTTCCGAAACCCTCTGTGATGAGGTAACGAAATTTTGTACATGTATATTACTTCTCATGTCTTTTTGAAATTTTTAAAAATTTCTCGAAGTTTTGATCATGGGTGTAGGAAATAGGGATAGGGGCATTTCTTCCCCCAATTTTTTTTTCTATTCAATTTCTGGCAGTTTGACCAGGAAATAAGAAAATATCATCATTTCTACTCAAAAATGATACGCTTATTTAGTTTCGATAGCTCTCACCATTTTCGAGATAAATTGATTTTAAAAGTCTGCTGCGTAACAAAAAAAGTGCTTTTTCCTTATGATACGGTACAAAATTTCTCCGGAGATTATGTTCCGATGGAAAATACCGTTTTCAACATCTACTCGTATGTTTGATTCAAAATATGAGAGGCACAATAAAAAGATTGAGTTGAAAATTATTATTTTATCGCGCAACAGACTTTTAAAATCGTTTTATCTCGAAAATGGTGAGTGCTATAAAGATTGAACAGGAGTATCATTCTTAAGTAAAAATAATGATATTTTCATATTTCCTGGTCAAACTGCCAAAAATTGCATAGAAAAAAAAGTTGGGGGAAGAAATGCCCCTAGTCCCCCCTATTTCCCACGCTCCTGATCAGAATTTCGGAAAATTCCTAACATTTCCAAATCGGGCATGGAAAGTAATATACATGTCCAAAATTTTGTCATCCCGTCACAGAGAGGGTTTCTGAAATATTTACAATAAACCATCATCTAGGGCCCTCTTTCAGATAGCTTTAACTCCCTAGAGGGCCATTTCTGGGCTCATGATTATATAAACTTTTTTCACTATTTTTTTTTCTAGAATCTGGGGTTGAAATATTTCTATGTAATTTCGAGACACCCTGTATAATCTCCTATCACTTCTCAAAATGCATATACTAGGCATATACGCAAAAATATCCCTGGCATTCATTTTCCGGTACATTGAAGCATATGCATAGCATATGCCAGGGATATATTTTGGAAGATTGCAGGATGTTCCTGGTATCTGATTCATGGTGACTTTGGATATTCCTGGAATGTGCCTATCACATGATTTGAAGGACATGGGATATCCCTGGAATATGCCAATGTCCCGGCGGGATATCCATGATGATCATGCAATACGATTGTGCCGTCTGGGACATACATCAAAGTGTCAGTTCTCCGGAAGAACCTTTTTCACGTTCCAGGGGGTCAGGCAGCACGAGAAGAAGGCGCATCTCGACCTGTACGCAAAACAGATGGAAGATAGCCTGTCGAGGCCGAAACACGAGTTTTTCGAGACCCTAGCAGCCATAGAGGTCTCCACCTTGAAGGGTAAACCTCTAGTCAAAGAAATGGAAAAAGCCACCGGCCTCACCAGTCATCAGATTTGCCACAAGCGAGATTAGACCATTTACAAAGAGTATCTCGCTCGTGCTCGACGGGCCTCCATACGGGCGACAACTGCGAACATGACATCCAAGAGGAATACTGTGCATTCTCCCTCTATTCAGTTGCTGCTTCAAGCTGTCCTGACTGCCTCAGCCAAGGGGAAGACGCAATTTGTCCTCATGGCACCGAGAGCATCCACAACTACCCTTGGAACGGGGTGCGAAGAACTAGACGACCCCGTCTACGGAACACCAAGAAGCTCCCTGGACCCCATGGAGGTCACAGCAGTGCTGCCCATAGCCAGCAGTCCTGGGATACACTCCTCCCAAATCCCGGGACTCGCCTCTGGAAGGAATCGATGGGCAGCACCAGTCAACAACATCGACAGGGACGACTCGTTGAACGAACCTCCCCCAATGGCGCAAACATCGGAGAAACGTTTACGGCAAGAGGATACTCCATCACAAGCTCCCCCAAAGGGACCACGAATCGAGTACTCGACGACAGCAGGTCAAGAACCCTCCCCAACTCCACCAGAAGTTCGTCAGTTGAGTGAGTCTCCACTGGCTACTCCAGACGTGACTGAGGTCACTACCAGCCCCCGCGCGGTGGCGATGGATGAGCAGCCAGAGAAACCCACCATCGATCCCGACCTCTATGGATATCTCCTTTCTTCAAAGAATGATGTCGAGGAACAAGTATACGAGGGGACTCTAAGCTCAACTGACAATCTCGTAGGTCTCGATGCTGGCATGGAGACCAGCGATCAAGAGCTATCCTTCGTCATCGAAGCCTGAATTAAGCAGAACTTCGAGAAGAGGAAGAACACTCGACCTGGGAGGAGAGCCACTGAGCCGCCTGACACACAAGCGGTGGGGGTGCGCCCTGGGAGCAACGCCGGGGCGCGCTCCTCGGCCGCAGGTTGTCAGGTAAAAGATAGAGGGGAAGGGACACGCAAGGCGAGGAATCACGGCCAGCAGTCCAAAGGGACCAATCCAAGAGCAACCCAATATTAGGAAGCTCAGGATTTGTTCAACTAGAACAAATGTGGACTGATGGATCTCCTGCTCGCAGGAAAGTCTCTGGATGACGCTGACGTCTTCCCCTCTGTCCAGGCAGTCGAGGAACTCTTCGGAGGGATATTGGAGAGCGCTTCTCTTTCCGATGGAGAGTTCATCATCGACCCAAAGACATCCACCTGCACCTTCAAACCAATATTGCCTGAATAAGTCACCCGGGCAAAGCTTGACTGGTTCCTATCAGCACCAGGGACCGACGAGGTGCAGGTGATGACAGTTAAGAGAACAGCCGATCGGGATCTGGCGATCCTGTTCTCTATATTACTAATGAGGAATGTTCACTTGTCGTCATTTGACGAAATGAGGACCACCCTCATCCACAAGGAAGGGGATCCTAGGGATCCAGGAAACTGAAGACCAATCACCATTGGCTCTTTCATCCAACGGCTATTCCACCGAGTCCTGGCCCATCGACTCAAGTTCTCGACCTCTCTGAACATGGATCAGAGAGGCTTCACCGACGTGGATGGAACAATGGCCAACATCATCATCCTAAACCACTACATCTGCTCCAGGAGAAGCAGAGGAGCCTGCTCCAATGTGTTGGCACTTGATGTCAGAAAGGCCTTCGACACGGTCTCACAGGAGCCCGTCCTCAGGGCCTTTGCCAGGATGGGAGTTGATTCGGAGACCCAAACCTATATTAGGGACACCTTGACCAGCTCTTCTACCACCATCAAGACTGGCTCTGGCAGCACGCGTCTTCTCAGGGTGAGTAGGATGGTTTGACAAGGGGACCGTCTGAAACCTCTCTTGTTCAACTGTGTCATCGACAAGTTGATCTGCCACTTGAACAGTGAATCTACTGGCGGAATCCCTGCTCCTCAGGTAAGGGTAGCTCCGACATTTTATTCCGGGCGTCTTCCTGAAACGATTGACCGGGCTTCTTGACCACGTCGACGACCGATCCTTGAGCGCCGTCCTACAGTGTGTCGAAACGTGAGGACTTATGAAACGACTCAACACTTTGACAGGTGATGTTCCAAATGATCATCTGTGGCAAGACCGCATAATGCAGGCGCCCACATTGAAAGGTCTCGAAAATTCCACAGATGATCCCGCCAGTAGGAGCTGGATAGACCAAAAATCAGCGGGATGGACAGGCCGAGACTTCGTCAGAGCCGTACAATTGAGATCGAACAATCTGCCCGTAGCGGGCATCATGTCTAACCCGCCGGAACTGCGGAGATGCAGGGCCAGCTGTGACCAAGTTGAATGCCTGTCCCATGTCTTACAACAGTGTCCCGCCACACACTGGGAGGGGATCAGGCGTCACAACGAGGTGGTCAAGAAGGTCGCCGAACATTGCAGGAAGAAGCAATGGACGACCGAGGAAGAACCCCACGTCTGGCAACAGGATGGTACACTCTTCAAACCAGACCTGGTTGTCCACCAGAACACACGTACACTTGTTGTAGACGTGGGGGTGAACTGGGAGGGAAATCAACCCTTGGGGGTGACGAATGCTGCCAAGAAGGCAGTCTATGATGATAGCAAATTCCTAGAGGTCACAAGGCAACGTTGGTCTGGCAAGACTCTACAAGTCTTGCCATTGATTGTTGGTGCTAGAGGGGCCTGGCCGAGGTGCAACGGGTTCACCGATGAAGCGCTCAAACTGACACGGGCGTTGAGGACGAGCTGTGTACACAGAACGCTCAAATGGGGCTCTTCGATTCACCAATCGTTCGGTCGAAGCATCTGGAGACGGCGTTGAGGGCTTCCCTGTCATCCGGGAGTGATCGGTGTGCTATGTTGCGGGTGTCACAGTACAGTTCTCGCGGTTCTTTCTCCCTGATAATTGTCAGGCAACGGGTGTTCATTTGAAAGTGTTGTGGGCGTTCCTAAAATGAAAACTGTTTCGAAGTGTTATGTCCTATTTTTCCATTTCACTCTACTATATTTTCAACCTGTTTGTGCTTGTACTATATATTATTGTATTTAACTTTTGCAGAATTTTACTATCTTGACAGTGGTGACTGATCACATTTAGTTCTACAGTGTCAGCACCACAATTTCCCTGAAATTTCAATCTCAGGTATAACGACCTGGTGGGAGGAATTTTGATTTTCCCATTAGGAATCCAGTGAATGTGTTTCGAATCACCCCCGATTGGTGTCATAACTATGTAATGTATTTCGCCCTGCGCGGCGCTGTAAACAACCCATAACAGAAGGTATATGTTTTCGATTCTAAATGAATATTTTGACTAGCCAAATGCCTCATCTAATTAGTGACGCGAATGAATGGATTAACGAGATTCCCACTCTCCCTACCCACTATCCAGCGAAACCACTGCCAAGGGAACGGGCTTGGAAAAACTAGCTGGGAAAGAAGACCCTATTGAGCTCGACTCTAGTCTGGCACTGTATGGAGACATGAGAGGTTTACGGGTTGTTCTTCGACCAAGCGGGTTCAACCCATTAAAGTTGTCGTTGGTATTTGTGTTCCCAGGATTTTGGGCATAGCATTGCCGCGGCTTCAACTGTATGCTTAGGAGGCTGTCAAGAGAAATCTGGGCCAAACTGTAACTATTCTATGCAACGAGCGGAAGCTTGTTCATGAATAGTACCGAGGGTAGGCGGGAGCCCCGAGTGTTGGTTACACTCACCCGTCTATTTAGTATTGGCCTCTCGGGGGCAGTCTCCTGGAAAAAGGACTGTGAGGATATCGTGAACATTTGTGTGTACGCATATCCTTGAGCATGGGTATGCAATCCCACCTCGCTCCTCGCACAAGCAGTGTCCATGTTTGGTCAGATCGAGTGGGCGGGAACGTGCCAGCTCTGGAACATTAGGTTGTAATGACAGTCATAGTTGTGGTCTGTGAGCTGCCGGAGGCTGAGACGTGGGATTGTCCGGCGACACGTAATCTTCGGAAATGTGACCGTGGAAGATGGAAATGCCCGGTTTCCACGTCGAAATCCGTGTATAAGGAGAACACGACTTCGCAGCTGACACTTAGGAAATCTGGTCTGGAGGACGTTGGTCTTGCCGTACCCGGCTTGGAAACACCCGCTTCGCGGCGAAACCAATGGACCCATGCTGGAGGGCCGGTCAGGCACCCCCGGTGCGGTCGTAACTATGACTCGCTCAAGGTAGCCAAATACCTCGTACACAGATTATCCCTAGCTATTCGTGGGAACAAATATGAGTTTAACAAATCCAAAACAACAACAAAAAACACAACTTTCAGTTCAACTAAATGCTGAAGATATAGAAGAAGCCAAAGAAAGGGCCAAGGCAGCAGAACATGAACAAGACAATTGTTCAGTCACAAGTGGGGCAACAGAAGAGGGTACCAATTTGGTCCCATTAAGAAGCACAAAACAAGCCGATGAGGCATTCACCCTGGTGCAAGACTTACTGTTGGCAGAATTCTCAGAAGCTAAAGAACTAATAATCAATAGCTTAAGTACCTCTAAAGAGACAACAGCAAAGAAGTATCTCTACACCAGTAACCTTGGAAGAATGACAACAGCTTTTACCAAACTATTAATAAGATTTACCCAGCTCGAATCAGAATCCAACTTTGATAAAAGGATGGACAAAATAGAAAAAATTCTGGATAACGAGACGGAAAAACGAAGGACCAGCGTGAGTTATGCATCAGCGCTGAAAAAAGGTTCCAACATGAGTTCGGCACCAAATATTCAAGGCAAAACAATTCAACCTTCTAGTAACAAAGTAGTAATGATCTACCCAATTGAAGGAAACAACGACCTCAAAACGAGCGAGGATACCATTAAGGCTCTTAAGTCTTTGAAGCCACACAAAGTTGGCCTAAAAGTAGAAAAAATGTTTCCAGCAGCAAAAGCAGGAATCAAAATTATAGCTGCAGAAGCGGAATTGAACGATGCAGAACTCCTGAAGGCTGGATTGACAGCCCAGAAACAACAAAAACTGGGATAAAAGCAAAGTAGAAGACTTGATTAATGACGAGCTACTAATTGAAGAAAAGCATCCAGATGGAGTAATTGCTAAATTTAGATATGGTGACAGGAATAGCGAAGTATGTACATGGGTTATCGAATGTAACCCTGCAATGAGAATAAAAATTTTAGAAAGGAAAAAGTTATATTTGGGCTGGAATGCATGTTTAGTGAGGAACCACCTCAGGGTTGTCCGCTGCTACAAGTGCCAAGGTTTTGGACACCTGTCAAACGTTTGCAGGAATAAAGTTGCATGCGAAAAATGCGGAGAAGAGCACGAGACAAGAGATTGTGCAAGTAGAGGTGACCCTAAATGTATAAATTGCAAGAAAGCGCAACTAGATCCGAATGATTGCAGACACGAGGCTAGTTATGATGAGTGCACTATATATGTCAGAAAAATCCAAACCTACATACATAATACAGATTATGGGCAGTAGGATTTTGAACCTGAAGATAGGGCAAATAAACCTTCAGAGAGCAATACTAGCCACCTCGGAAGCTAGGAAAATAGCAGAAGATTGCAGACTAGATATTTTAGTCATCCAAGAACCATATGTTAGACAAAATAACAAAAATAGATTTGTAATCCCAGGATTTTCACAATACAGAACTAATCTAATAGATACCGAACGTCCTTTGGCAGCTATAATCATACTCAATAAAGATTTTGATTCATTAGCTCTTAAACAATACGAAAGCACAAATATCTCTGCAGTTTTGATAAAAATAAGATCGCTAGAAATGATAATCATATCCATCTATGCCCCTCCTGAGAGTGACATAAGAG